TTGCAGGGAAGTTAAGACTCGTTGCCCCTGGGGAAACCCTTCTAGGTATCACTGTCTTCCCACCAGGATAGAGAATGTTCAGGTATAAGTGAACTAAACCAGCTTTCGTACATTTGAATGGTGTTAACATTTTACATGCACTTCTTTGGCTAAAGCGCTTTTGATAAGGTTCAACACAGGCACATTTTGGAAGACTGGCTGGCCGACAGCTAGTTTACAGGTCAGGGAGCTAGCTACTATACTTACATGAGTCTCATTTCTAATGAAGTTTCGAAGATCTCCGTGTTTCATGTACGGCAGGACCACCAGGGGAGACCCCTCACTTCGAAGGCAGATTCCCAGGAGCGAGAGCACGTTGGGATGACTAAAATCCTTCATGATGATCCCCTCAGTCAGAAACTGGGAAACTTCTCCTATGTCAGTGATTCCTGAGAAATCCAGTGGTGGAGACATTGATTTCATTACAGAACAACGAGGACTTTGTCATGCTCAGATAGGGAGAGCAATGGCATCTTTAAAACCGCAGGATTAAAAATAAATAAATAAAAATAAATAAAACCACAGGTTTCCATCTTGTCCGCTGCCTCATCCTCAGAGCGTTTTTCACAGTCCACCTGTGTGAGTGATGTCGCCCCGCACTGTGCTTTCAAGTCATCACCTTTACACATGTTTGTAAGATCGAGTCTAGCTAGCAGTCAGTTTGTCTGATACGGAAAAGGAGAGGAAAGTTGGCCAGTCCATTCTGTAGTGACTGTGAAGGGCAGGGGTTGGCAACGTTTTTGTCGAGCCAGATAGTAAACCTTGTTTGGCTCTGTGGGTCATACGGTTTCAAACGCTCAGGTCTGGCCATCGCAGTGCAAAAGCAGCCACAGGGAAAAAGGGTCTAAGTCTCAATAAACTTTATTTCAGAAAACAGGCGGCTGTCCATAGTGTTCCAACCCCTGGACTGGGTGGATCTGAAGATCAATGGTGGTCATATATATAAGCAGACATTTTTTTTTTTGGTTCTAATAGTTCCTAACCATTTCCAGAAAGAGGTCCTAAGGGCTTGACACAAGTCAGCATTAATGGAAAATGAACAAGCTTTAATTTACTAATCTGACTAATATCAGTCTCAGTGATGATTTTTTTTTTTATTACAAACACAATGCATTCTGGAACCAGGAAGGCTAAGAGATCACTCCAGAACAGAGAAAGATTCCTTGGTGATAGGATTGTTCTTTGTAAATGGGCAGTAGTGTTCTCCTGTGAGGCAAATGTATTGAAAATCATACATAATCCATCCAGGGTGTAGTTAGGTTTTATATATAAACTGTCCCTTTAATGACCTTGGGATCAGACTTTCAACAAAATCAACCATCTAGAACACTACTTAGCATGAAGATTTACATGTCAAAAAGGCTGACATAGTTCTGACAATCATGTATCTTGCAGAAAAACCTTTCATGTGGGCATTTAAGCTTATTATTCCAATATAAATTTGTGATATAGCTGGTTAACGTTTTTCAGGATGCAGCAAATTGTAAGCACAAATTTGGAAATTTAAAAAAGGCAAGCACATGGACTTGACATGTGAGACCTGTCTGTAAAGGTGGAGCCAGGGAAATGCTAGTATGAGGAGAACACTGGGTTGTACAAGACAGTAATTTATGCTATAATTATGGTCATCGGTAAAGTCTTAGTTTATGCTTGAAAGCAGTGCCTATTTTTCAAACAGAGTCTGCATTCCGTTTAAAAAAGAGTTTCCCAATAACTACTAACATTCTAAAAAACATTCTAGCATTAAAAGGAGGGTAGGTTTCACTTGTTTAGGAAGTTTTTTTATGTGGGATATCTCATTCCCCAAAAATGCAGATAAGTGAGATAGTACCACATTTACAACTTTTCAATTTTCTGCCAACATATTTTTTGCCTGTTTGTCTTATTTCATTTTTTTTTAGAAGTCTTTTTAGTAGAGGTTGTGGTTAAACAAATAATTATAGTAATGCCTCCGGGTTAAATGAGTCATTATTATTGTATGTGCCAACATGCTTCCAATAGTTTCCATGAATGTCACTTACAAAACACGTATTATAAGTCAAACATAGTTAAGTGAAACTCAGCTCATCCCAGACTCATTTCTCCTGCACTCTCACTTAGGAGGGCCCTCAGATAATTTCTGAGGAGATATCTCAATAGGAATTTAGAGCAAATTTTTAGCAATAGATCCATAATTCCAAAAGTACCTGATTTTTCCACGAGGGAAAGTGAAAATCAACATTTCATTATAAACTATTAGTTTGCAAATCATAAAAGTGTATGTTAAATAAAAAGTAACCGCCCAGCCCATGTTGCTCAGTGGCTGAGCACTGACTATAAACCAGGAGGTCACAGTTTGATTCCTGGTGAGGGCACATGCCTGGGTTGCAGTAGAGGGTGTGCAGGAGGCAGCTGATTAATGATTCTCTCTCATCATCGATGTTTTTCTCTCTCTCTCCCACTATGAAATAAAAAATAAATAAAATGTGACTTACTATTCAAGGATTTCACAGCACAATGAATTTTCTTGTCATCGTTGTCCAACAAAGTCCCATGATATACACACCCAAAATGACCTACATGAAAGAGGGTATTTGGTTAGTGCTGCATTACTTTTAATTATGCAATAATTACTTACTAGGGACTTCGTGATCTTCATTTCCTTTTTTTGTACATGACCAAAAAGTACATTATTTTGTTTACTTTTGATTAACTGTGTGTGCGTGTGTGTGTGTGAATGCAGGGTGGGACAAAAGTAGGCTTAGAGTTGTTTGTATGGAAAATCCTACATAATAAAAGGGTAATATGCAAATAGACTGAATGGCAGAACAACCAAACAACCAATCAAAGCATAATATGCTAATGATATGCTATGGCTGCTCAACCGCTCACTATGACGTGCACTAACCACCAGAAGGCAGATGCTCTGACTAATAGGTTAACTTGCTACTGGAGTCCAGCCAATTGGGACTGAGCCAGATGGGCTGGACACGCCCTGGAGCCCTCCTGCAGTCCCTCCCTGGCCCAATCGTGCACCAGTGGGGTCCCTCAGCCTGGCTTGCACCCTCTTGCAATCTGGGACCCCTCAGGGGATGTTGGAAAGCTGGTCTCAGCCTGATCCTGCAGGCCACGCCCCTTGGGGAGGGTGCCAGATGCAGGGCTCATGGCTGGTGAGTGCTGCTGTGGCAGCACGAGCCTCTCCCAATCAGGACTGATTGGGCGTGAGCCCATGGCAGGCACAGTGGGGCTGGGATGAGTGGGAGCAGCAGGTAAGAGCTGCAGGCAGCATTGGACTGCAGGTTTTGGCCCGATCCCTACAGGCCGCCCAGAGGGTCCCCACCCGTGCACGAATTCATGCACCGGGCCTCTAGTTAATAATACAAGAAAAACTGTGGGAGAAACTAGGATGGCGGCATAGATAAACACCGGGAAATTGCTGCCTCTCACAACAATTGAATAATACCTCAAAAACACAATACGGACATCATCCAGAACCACAGGAAGGCGGGCTGAGTGTAAATTCTACAACTAGAAGGAAAGAAAAGCACACTGAGAGCCAGAGGAGCTGCAGAAGTAAAGCGCAGAGGTAGGGGGCTCGCGCACGCAGAAAGGGTCTGGCACCTGAGGACGCGGCTGTCTTTTTGAATGCGGAGGGAGTCCCA